AATATTTTCCTGTGAGTTTGCTTTCTGAGTAATAGCAAATTATTTTCGTTTAATCTTTAGGAAAGTGTTTTGAATTTTTATGCTAAAACATTAAACTGAGGAAGTGTGTTGGTAGTAAAGTTGTAAAACCTAATCCCTGTGAAAAGCTCTTGGAAATTCATATTGCTCTTTAAAAAAAAAAAAAGGCATTATTTTCTTGCTAAACTTCACAGGCAATATGTGGCACTGTGTGGCTGTGACTAAAATGTTAGTTAAGCATCTCCCTCTGGGGACTTGTTTGGGCATGCCCTACACCTCAGTCAGGGCAGACGTGGATATTTCCCATTCCATCACATTTCTGGGAGCTGGATCCTTTTCTGGAGCAGTAAGGAATGACATGCTTATACTCGATTTTTTTATTTTACTTTTAGGAATGGCCTAAATTATCTTTTGAAGTCTTTCCAGACCACCCCGTGTTACAGTCATAACTCACTATTTGTAAGTGTTTGTTTTTAAAAGCAGCAGTGCTTTTGAAGAGAGCCTTGCCAATGTGTTTCCCAAAGCCTGGAAGAAATCTTGGAATAGATTAAAACTTGCACAATAAAAAGGCTGCTTAAACTAATTTTTCATAACTAGGTGGTCTCATTGTTAATTTGGATTTTTTTTCTGTTTTAAGACAACATTTTTAGTGTGCCCTACTCACATGAAGGCATAGATATATGAAAACTTCTTTTGTATCAACTTACAAAATGTCACTTACTTAAGTGATTCAAACTGTTAAGAAGAGTTAAAAATACATTGCTGGAATCAAAGCTTTGAAAATGCTTTAAATAAACTACTTTTTTTTTTTAATTTGACTGTTCAAGATCAAGATCTCCAACATGAACAACTGCCTTGAGAATTAACTTCTACAAATAGTGTTACTTAGATCCTGGTCTTGGTTCTCACATTTTAATGTTTCATTCAGTCCTGAGAGGGGTAAAATAGGCAAGTAACTCCCTTTATGTGAACTGATAGATACTTTGAATAATTACACAGCTTTAAAGGTGAGTCTGAGAGACATTCTCATTACACACACACTTCAGTGCCTTCCAAAGGTGAGAGGATAGGGTAGAAGTGGAGGTGGGGCAAGGCAGGAGAGAGGTGGTGGTAGGAAGGGGCAGGATGTTATCTCTCCAATTTTACTGAATGGAATTAATGTCTCCATATTTGCTTTCCTATAAATTTTATGAGAAATTGCGGTTTGTCATTGCTGCAGTAAAACTGCTGTTAACTTTGATTTTGTTTTTTATTAAATCATTGGCAAAAGTTTGCTTTTCTGTGAAGGGAAAGAAGCAGGAAATGTCAGTGAATGAGCTCAAGCTGTTTATAACTGTGCTTTATTTAGACTATGGTATATATAATGTGGGAGTCTGGAAACCTGGATTGAGACTGACGCCAGCAGAGCACTCTGAGCTGCTGCTGTGGCCACCCTGATTTCTCCACTCTGACGTTTGTTTGCAGAATGCAGGGGTCAGGTGTGCTTTTGGTTTTGGTTGGTTTTTGTTTTCTCGTGGTTAACCATTCAGGGGAAGAATCTGTAAGCAACAATCCCTCATTTGTTCTTTTTCACTTATGTACAATGCTAATGGTAATTAAATAATCATTTAATGTGAATATCCAAATATTTTAGAGCCCTTTTGGCAGATTCATCAGCTGAAAGCAATCAAATGAAGCAATTTTTGTCTAAGAAGAGAGTTAGCACACTGCAAGAGAGTCTTTATACCTACTGGAATATCTTGTCTCCTGAAGGTTAGAAAGTTCACTGAATAATATATGTTGAGCGCCTTTCTGACTTCACTTGACCATCATCTGTTAGTGGCAGCCCTCCTGCACGTTTTTCAGTAGTGGGATATCACTTAAATGCTCAGTAAGTGCTGAGACCAGTACTCCTTGGGCAGTAAAAAAGGCATTATTACAGTGAGGTAGTGACTGACCATGCAGAAATCCCAAAAGAGTATTGCTAGTTTTGGTTGTCAATAAAAATACTTAGAAAAAAAATTCTTTTTGGAGAACTCCAGTGTTGAAAGAAAGTGTTGATGACATGAATTACAAGTTCACAGGTCTTACTGTTTTTTCTGTAAGTGTCTCCCTACTTTGTGCTGTTCTAAGGCATTAGCCTGCATGAGCCCAAGCCCTGGCAGGAAAATTATCTGCTGTGAAGGAGGTGATAAAAATGCCTTCCAGTAATCAGTTGTTACACTCCTTAAAGAACTGGGAGAAGAGCTATCTCCTCTCTGTTATTTGACTTGCTGGGCTGTCTCTGAAAGCTTATAATTTTGGTCTGCAGCAATCAGACTGTTTCAGTGGGTAGGAGTGGGTCACAGTGTTTGCACACACAAACACAGAACTCTGATGTGTACACCTGACACACCTGCACCTCAAACATGTGTCTCCGTTTAACTCTTCTGAAGATGGGTGCAGAATGTCCTTGTGTCATTTTGCCAAGGACACGAGTGATCCAAGTGCACAGGGTGTCTCTTAACAACTTGGTGAAGATGAGAACATTGTGTGTTGGTTTTTTAGCTTTGCTTTTGTTGTGTTCCTTATTAGAGGTAGCAAATAGGAGATATCTGGTTCATTGAGCAGAAAACTTCATTAAAAACAAACAAATGGAGCCCATGGTCAGTGTTTTTATCTGTTGATGGCCCTCAGCTTGGCTGCAGATGGGCTTGTGCTGTTTTCTCTCCTTGTATCAGAAACTAACTTAGTTGTGAAAGATAAGGGGGTTGTGCCAGTTTCCTCCTGTGCTTGGTAATTTACGATGAATAAATATTTCTCCACTTTATCTCAATTTTTCTGGTATCTTTGATTCTGCCCAGCCTTTGCTAAAGTTCTAAGAAGTTCATTGTCTGTACAAGTGAAGAATTTTAGTTGTCTTTGTCATCTCTTACCTTGACATAAGAATTTCTTTCCTTAGCATAGTTTTTCCTTTACTGGGGGAAAAACCCAAAGAAGAACCTAGAAGACTGCTTCACTTTGTCTTTGCTGCTGTTGCTGGAGAACAGCTGTGTATAATGGAAGTAATGTCAGCTTCCCTAGTGAGAGAGCTCTTTCAGGGTTGGTCCAGAACTGGAAACAAAAGAAAAAACTCTTGGCTGCTCCACAAGTATCAGAAATTTCAGCTGACATTTCTTGTCCTGCAGTTTCTGAAGGTGTCTGTAGTTTGTCACAGGTGTTCTTGCTGTTTCTTGAGAACATTGGAATCAGGATCATGATTCAGCGTATGGATCCATTGAGTGCAGTTCTCTCTCTTTTCTTCTCTTGAAATCACATTTGTATTTTGCTTTTTACACCAGGCTTGAAAGAAGTGGGATTTTTTGGATGGTGATGAGCTGACTGTGAACTTACTGTGCTGAGGTGAAGATAATGCTCATGAGGATGAGAGAGGACACTTAAAAGCTGGGTGTTTAGGAGTGTGTGTTTAGGTCACCATCTCAAAAATGTTCTGGGCATATAAATGGGGCAAAACATGCATGTGTTCTTCAACACATTATTTTCACCTTTACATCCTGTGTTGTGTTGCAGTAATCCATTTATTTTCCTGGCAGTGTTTCTGACATGGTTCCTGTGACTTCAGGAGGCTGCAGCAGTTCCTGCTTCCTGTATCAGTACTTCATGGTTGTATCCATGGTGCTGTATTTAGTGCTTCACAAAATCAGTGCTTAAGTCAGATACAGTTACAATTTCATGAAGTCATTGTTTTGAAAGAGAATTGACTCCAGCTTTTTCTTCTAGCTTTTGCAGAAACAGAATAAAATTAATGCAACCTCTCTTAAGGGGAAAGAATGCATTTTAAATTGAGCCTTTTTTATTTGTCAGTGCTCAGCTTACTAAGGGTTAAGTTGCTCTAGAAGACACTGAGGTGGTGAGGTCTTTTAAATTTGGGCTAGGATAAAGCATTTTGCAATTCTTTTTGTCAGTGATTTAACCTTCCAGTGTCACTGATACTCAAATGCAATTTTCACATTTGGTGGTTGTTTGGTAGCCAAGTGAAAATTGCTGGATGCTATGGAGATTTCTTTTTTTTTTTTTTTTGATTAAAGCTGTTAACAGGAAACTGAATAGGGGGAAAAAAAACCAAAGAACTCTGTAGCCAAAATCTCTACCAACAAACAAAAACAGGATGGATGTGAAAATGGCCTCTCTAGTCTTTGTTTTAGAGCTAATTGTTCTTTAAAACTGACTTCCTGCAATTGTTCCCAAAACTGATGCATGGTGTGTTTTCTAAGAAATAAGAATGCTGGAGACTTTGGCTTCCATGGAAGATGGGCTTTATTGATTTCAGGCAGTAGGAAACAGATAATTTCATTTAGCACTTGAAAGGGAATTGTCACTGGCTTTGCTGTGATATCTTTTCTCTCCTGTGTGGTAAATAGGACTTATAAAGCTTTGAGAGGTAACTGGTTTTGTCTGCCTCCATCATTTGGTGCTCGTCACAGAAGTCAAAGCTGTTGTAATGTCTGGTCTTCCCATAACAAATTTGGGAGTTTTAGACAGTGTTTCTGTATCCCATAATGTAGCCTGGCATATTTACTGTTGCAAAAAAGTTAGGATTTCAGTTCTTCCTAACTATAACATGGATTCTAAAATACCTGTTTACAGAGGCCAAGGAACCTGCCAAGAATCTGTTCAGGGCTGAGATTGTCTTGAGTTGGGGACTGGGAGGTCTTAGGGAATGTGGGAAGAACTTGCTGTCACCCTGAAGGGTGGGTTGCTTCATTGTGGGCTTGCTCTGAACCTGTGTGTTCACACTAAAACAACAACAGCCACAGTCAGACTGAAATGAGAGGGTCCAAAGACCCCTTGGAAAGGGTGGTGCAGCTTCCCCTGGCTTAGCAGACCTGACCTCCTGCAGCACTGCCTTGCACAGTTGTTTCTTAGTCCAATAAGTACTGAGAGATTGGAGGAGGAGCAATGCGTTTGCTGCAGGTTTGGTTAAAGAGTGACTCTTACCAATTCTGGTGGTTTCTGTCTTGCAGTTTTGGAACCCTCATTGCCATTGGAGTTACTGTTTTTGCAGTGATTGTCGTTACTATTATTCTGTGCCTCACCTGTTCCTGTTGCTGTCTGTACAAAGCATGTCGAAGACCACGCCGTAAGTAGCTCTTGATTTATTTTCTTTTTCACATCTTTGAAGAGGATTTTTTTTATCCCTCCTGGAAAATTGTCTTCCTGTAAGAGGTGAAAATACTCTGCTCAGAAGTTGCAGTACCTAAATATTAAAAATAAGCATTTAAGCAGCTTCAGAATGTGAAGTTGGAGAGAGATGTTTTGGAGTATTTTCTGAGCATTTAGAAGTTCTCTTCCATCCCACCACGTGGGGAGTCTGGGAGTTGGTGGGGGTTTTCTTTAGGGACCAGCAGCACTAACCATGTTCCTTTTCCTTGCTGCAGCTGTGGTGACCACTGCCACCACGACGGTGGTTCACTCTGCCTATCCCCAGCAGCCAGCAATGCCACCCAGCTACCCAGCAGCTCCCTATCAAGGCTACCAGCCCGTGGCTGTGCAGCCCCAGCCGGGGATGCCGGTGGCTCCCTACCCTGCCCAGTACCCTCCCCCGTACCCCACGCAGCCGGCAGGACCCCCAGCTTACCATGAAACTGTGGCAGGTAAGGCAGCGCCGAGTGCTTCTGCATCTCCTGAACAGCTAAGAGACAGCTGCTCTGGAGAAAATCTTAGGTTATTTACATTTAATATTGTCTGTGGCCGTGTTAATACAAATGGAAACAAATTCCGTAGAACTCAAAGTTGTGGTGGATGCTGTTTTTCACCCTGGTGGAAATTTCCCTCTCACTGTTTTGGTGTTAAGCATTGCCAGAGGAGGTGTGAGCTGGAGCTGTATGGCAAAGTTTGGCAATGTGTGGGACTGTCAGCAGATCCAGTAGAATGTTTTACTAATTCAGTTGACATTTAATGTTAAAATCAAAGTCAATTAACATACATACATACATACATATGTATGTAAAGATGAGTTGGATGTTTCCACATTTCCTTTCTAATCTAATATCTGCAAGCTCTATTCTATAAGAGCATGTAGTGACAGGACAAGGGAGGATAGATTCAAACTAAAGGACAGCAAGTTCAGATTAGTTATTATTCAATAATAATAATATATATATATATTATATATCTATTTATAGCTAGTAATATATAATTATATATATTTATAAGTACCTATCTATCTATATGCATACATATATAAAGCCTAGTTATTAGGAAAAAATTGTTTACTGTGAGGTTTGTGAGGCCCTGGCACAAATAGGCCAGAGAAGCTATGGACTCATCTCTAGAAGTGTCCAAGGCCAGTTTGGATGGAGTCCTGAACAGCCTGGTCTCATGGAAGGTGTCCCTGTCCATGACAAAGGGATTGGAAGGAGAAGTCTGTTAACAACTTGCAGTTAGAATTATCAGAATCTTTGTTCTTCAGCTTTCCTTCTTTCACAGCATTGTTTTCCTGCAGCCTTATTGTTGAAATGACTAATTCCCACTTCTGCTAATAGCTGTTCTCTGAACAATTGGCTCCAGACTGCTCAGAGGGGCCAAAACTAGGCTTTTACCTGTAGGATCTTCAAGTTCTCTTACAAACCTCACTTGTCATCCTTTTAAGTAACAAAGTATAGTCCTGACTAGTAGATAATGCCCTTAGAAAGTAACTTCCAGGACAACTTGGATACAAAATGGCTTTTCATGGTGTGAAAGATTTGCAAACAGTTAGAAATTGTACATTAATAATGTGCAAACCAGCCCCACATGTGAAAACACTGACTTGGCAGGACTGTTGACTCTATTTTTCTGTCATAAATGCCAAAGAAGCTGTGGGTTTTACAGGATTATGCCAAAGTACGTTGGCTTCATCTTTTTCATATGAAGGAGCCAATAAATTAGTCATTTCACTTCTCCTGCTGCTGGGTTCTCAGGCTGTTGCTGGTTTGTTAGTTTTAAAGCAGTTGTTTGGGAGTTTTTTTGTTTATTTTTTTTTTCTGGGAACTTACCAAAGCACTTTCCATGTTGGCAGCTGAAAATGCCTCACAGTGAGAGTTTTTCCTTCATTTCCCCTGCCTTTTAACCAAGGAGCAGGCTGTTAATGAGGTCACGTGCCAGGGGAGAATACCTGCTCTGCCACAGCAGCCAACCCCACTCACTTTACAAGATCAGCAGAAGATAACCACACTTGCACTTTCCAGGGATCTCATCAGGTGCTACTTGAACAAACTTGTGCTGTTTGACGGAGCTGAAAATGGAGGTGTCCCTTGAGAGCAGCTTTTCTCAGAGCAGTAGAAAATAAGGATCTCTTCCAAGGGATGCACATCTGGTATATAAGTCAAACTTTTTCATGTGCTCAGTAGTGCTGGGATATTTTTCCCTTTTATTTTACTTCCTTAAATAATTTTTGACACTTCACAGGAAAGCATTTTCCCTGAAGGAATCCTAATATGATTTCTCTAGTCCTTTTACCAGTGTTTTTTTTTTCTCAGCACACTGTCATGTACATCCTCTTGTATGTGCACCCCTTACTTCCACTGGCTCTTTTTTTGAGCCAGATCTGTTCCTTTTTTTTTTTTAGACTAGATTCTTCCCTAAAGGCTGCTCATGTACACTCAGAATCAAAAAAGCCCCAAAGTGAACAAGAACAAAAGTTTTTGTGCTCTTGCTTCTGAAATGCAGATGTTTTATGACAAGCTGTTTTCAAGTCCTGTTAAGATACTAAGTTGAACCTCTTAACTGTGTGCTCAAAACAGAAATTGCTATTTTATATGTGGAATTGAGAATGTACTTTTTACAAATCTGTTTTTTCTTGTGTTTTGCTTTTGCAGCTGGTGCTGGAGCCCCTTACCCCACCCAGCCCCCTTACAACCCTGCTTACATGGATCCTCAGAAGCCCACCTATTGAAAAGCTTCTACTGTGCTTCTGCATACAAAACTTTTAAAAATATAATTTGTTCTGTTTACACCATTCACCTGTACTATATTTTTCTGGAAGACAACAATCTTTTGTTAAAGTAGAGTGAAAATCAATTAATTATCTTCTTTTTTTTTAATGCTCCAAGGAAGGAGTATTTTTCTTGCAGAAGTTAATTTATACCTCAAGCAAATACAAAAAGAGATTTTGCTCTAGATACAATGAGAGTAACGAGAAGAAAGAGTATTTCTGAAATACAGAACCACAATACCATTTGCTGTGCAATAATTTTGAGAGGAGTGGTCTAATATTGAGCTTTGTCAAATACCAAAAGCTGTAGCAATCTTTTGCACAGTATTAAAATGTAAAATTTTAACCTCTGAGAAACTACCTGATACGTGTTATGTAAGTTCTGCCTGTTTTGAAGCTACTATTGTTAGGTAAGCTACCATTTAATACATTTCATTTATCATTCAAAAGGGAATTTTCCTTTTTTGCAACACCTTTACCTGTGGTAAGGGGTAGTAAACCATGTTTAATTGCCTTTGAACTAGTTCTAAATAGCATGAGTTGGTTATTTCCTTGTTTTCTGTCCCAATTTTAAGGTTTATAAACTGTGTCTCCATTGGGTGTTACAGCTAAAAATAACAGACTCTCTGCCACTTAAAGGACCAAATAGATCAAACGCTGAAACCCTGAAAATTCTCTATAAAAATTATTGGATGAGTATTTCTTGTTCAGGTAGTGTTGGACAAGCTTACTTCAGCCATCTGTTGTTGATGAGTTTGGAATTAAAATCAGCCCCTTAATCACACGTTAACAGGGGTACCTTGGCAGCATTCAGTCCTGCCTCATCCCAGAGAAGGAATTCCTTTACAGGAGGGATGGGATGTCAGCAGAAGATTGGGGTTTGCAAATGCTCAGGTTTTTTCCACTGCCTCTAGTGGGACCTGTAGGTGGCAGGAAGCTAAGAATTACAGACCTTCATAAATCCAGTCTGCACTGGAGTAACAGTGTGCTGGGTGAGGGGCCACAGTGAGCATGAAACCTCCCTTTTGTCTTTAATGAGAAGTCAGGGAAAGGAAGGATTTGGTCACAGGCAGGTCATGTATTTTTAAGAAGGTAATGCTTTGAGTCATGAAACATCTTGAGACATCCTCATGGCTGTTAACACTGCTTAGGCTTTAGGCTTTATGAATCTTTCATTGCTCAAACGAAAAAGGTGGGGGTTTTTTTCACTGTCCTCAACAATTCTGTCTTTTCCAATGTTGAAATGCAATTTAATCCTCATAGAACTATGTAGTTATTTGCATGTATCACTGTGACATAATCACTGAAATAATTTTAACATATCTTTTACACTGATTTTACTTTTTTAGAAGGGCCATTGAGCCATTTGTCCTGTCATTCTACATTTGGGGTATATTATTGTTTGGTGGCATTGTTTTACCTCACAGAGTGGGTGGAAGTTGCTGTTGTCAAAGGCAGCCTTGTTCCCCTTTCTGATTTTTTGAGTCTATTTCTGGATTATTCAGACTTTTTTTTTTTTTAAGAAAGTTTTCAGGGCATTTCAGAAGAAACTTGTTTAAAGTTTTTACACTGGGGTTCATGACAACCTGTGCCCCTCTGTTACACCTCTCTGAGTGTTGAATTTAACAGCATTAAATGGTGCCAAGAGGCACTTACAGAGCATTTATCTGTGTATCCTGTGTCTGTGTTCCTCTTTCCTGCTGTGTCAGCTGAGGAATTGGGCAAAACTTCATTACACTGTCAGATGTTACATGGACCAACCAAAAAAGGATGGTGTTTCCTGTATGGAGGAGGAAGTATTGCCTTAGAAATCTGGAATGTTTCTGTGGAGGGCGCTGAGCAGAAATAAATCCTCTGCTACAGATCCTACCCCTGGTGCTTATTCATGGAGAAGGAGGGCAGAGATTGTCCCAGCACCTTTGTTAGTCCGTGTGCAGCCAGGCCAGGGAGATCACAGGTACAGCACCCAGTCTGGGGCTTCCTGAGGTGGTTACTGTGCCCTGTTTTTCCTCTTCCCCACCTGGTGTGACAAAGGGAGCTGCTGCTCGTGGCAGTCACAGTGTCATGTTTGGGTTGTGAGAGGGAACTCTGCAGTTTCGTGGCAGGATGGCTCAGTCATCATCCCTGAGGAGATGGGAGGAAAGTAAGGAGGCAGCAGTAGGAGACATTCCCAAATGCAAGGTTTTGGGGTGGAAGTTGTACAGACCAAACAAGTTACTGTGCCCTGTTTTTCCTGTTCCCCACCTGGTGTGACAAAGGGAGCAGCTCGTGGCAGTCACAGTGTCATGTTTGGGTTGTGAGAGGGAACTCTGCAGTTTCGTGGCAGGATGGCTCAGTCATCATCCCTGAGGAGATGGGAGGAAAGTAAGGAGGCAGCAGTAGGAGACATTCCCAAATGCAAGGTTTTGGGGTGGAAGTTGTACAGACCAAACAGATGGCCCTGAATTGCCACTGCTCGGTGTGGGGAGATGAGTGGTAGGCTTAAGGAGCTGAAAATTGACACCTTTCCATCAGTGGACATGTGCAAATGATGGCTGTGTACAAGTGAAGAGATCAGTCATTAATGTACAAGGAACTGCCTTAGCAATACTATTACTAATTCAGTTACAAAACTTATTGAAAGAAGCGAAAATGGTCCAGTTCAAAATAATTCAGATTAATATGATTAATTTCATATTGTTAGTGCATTAATCATCATTAACAATGAGGTGTAGGACCAAATTTTATTTGGTTCTTGTCCTGCAGCCTTGTTGAAGCTTGTTTTCAAATACTGAAGAGAATGGGGTGGTTACAGAAAAGATGGAGATGATCCATAAGTTTTTAGTTGAAGCACTGCTGGTGTGTCAGTCCCAGTAGCTGTTGCCTTCATGTCACACTTGTTCTCCACAGTGCTCTAGGGAGGGGGAAGGGAGCTAAGACTTTAAATGTTGATATATATATTTTTTTTAATTCTGTAAGTGCCTTTGTTTCAGAAATGTTTTGTGAAATTAAAGACAGTAGAATATTGAATTTACTAGATAATCATTGTTGCTTTTGTTACATACTGTAACCTCGCTTTATATGTTGTTTGTAGGTTAAACATGAGTATTCAAACCAAATGGCATAAACTCTATGCACCTTTATAATAAATTCAGTGTTTGAAGTACATTCTGTCAACTTGGTTTTCTTAGCCTCATTTTGAATATTATTTAGGGGTGTGTCTGCAAAGCTGCGTTTTCCTTCATGTGTTTGACAGCTCGTGTTACTGAACGTCCTTCAGGTCACCTTGTATCATTAATATCACTTCTGGTGGTGAAGACTGGAGCCAAACCAAAATTACAAATCACAGCATAAAGCAAGGACAGTGTATGCTGCTGAGTGATCCTCTGATGGGCTGCTGCCAAGCAAGTCCAAAAGGATTGATTCTAAGGAAGTCTGTAAATTCATTAAAAATACCTTCTCCCTTCTCAGCCTGTTTAAACTTGGGTGGTAAGTATTGTGCCTCATTCATCAAATCGACCAATTCAGCATGAGGTAAGTGATGCTTTCTACTCTGAAAATGTTTTTGCTAAAGTGTTTGTGTATTTTATAGTTTTGATAAAAATGTTTTAGAAGGGTTGTAGTCACACCCCTGACTCATTAGTCTTTCACTTGAAAATATTTTTTTGAGAAGGTCAGGAGTATTCTTTATATGACACCACACAGCAGTGAATTGTTTAGTGTATAAGCATTATTACCTTGAATTGCCAGCTACATCCTAATGTAGCATTTAAAAGAAAAACAAAGGGAGACACAGAAATTTTTTAAAAACCCACTAACACCCAATCAAAACCCCATAATAATTGGGTAGTTTTGTAGTATTACTCTTTGATTTTGTTGGAGTCTCAGCTGCAGGCTGATAATGTGTTGGAGGTGCAATATAAATAATTTCACTTCCAGTTTTATTTCACAATTTCTCTTAGTTGACTGGGGGCAGCAGACAAAATGCATGCTCCTAAAAGCCTAAATCTAGAAAACATATAATTAATGTTTATGCTAGAAATGACACCAGGAAATTTCAGTTATTTGTGAAGATTTTGTTGACATTGCTTTTTAGTTCATCTATTTCTCTTTTCCCATGAATTTTAGCAGGTGCACCTGTTAAGGTTTGAGAAGTGACAGGCAGAGAAAAGCTCAGAGGAAAGCTGTGTGCCTTCCCCTCTCTGTGCACACAGGGCTGAGGAGCAGAACCTGGGTTTTGATGAAAACCTGCAGATTCCCTTAAGGAGCACATAGGGTTTCAAAGATACCTTCACCCTTTATTTTTGCAGCTAAGGGTTGTATAGGAGGGCAAATGGCTGAACTGACAAGGTGGGAGCCCAGGGTTAGGTGAGGAATATTGCTGGTTATGTTTTCATAATGTTTAATCAGCAGTTGTGTATGGTAGTGTGAATTTTTCCAGAACTAAACTTGGCATGCATTTAAAACTCATGGCAGGGTTGTGTGGGAAGGGCTGGACACACAGGAGGGAAAAACTTCAATTACTGCCAAACAACCAATTCTTGCCTGTTTTATTTTTTATAAGTATGGAAACTCAGTATCATAGTACTTGTAATAACTCACCAGATTGGCTTTAGCCAGTGGTTTGGGGCCTGTTTTTTTTCTCTCTGATTATTATTTGACCTTATCTAGTTGTTTTTGCAGCCTGTACCACAGGAACCTGGTCAGATTTACAGCTTTTCAGTGAGTCATGTAGGAGGGGGGAAACATGCACAAGTTAAACTTGAAAGGTGAGAGAAAGTTGAAGAAAACATTACTTTATCCTTTCAAGAGCTCAGGCTTCTGCACTGATGGAATTGTGTCCTCTGCAAAGGCAGCCCCCACCTCAGGGCCAGTTAGCCATTATAAAATGACCTCTGATAACCCATTTCCCTCACTGCACTCAAAATAACTTTTTAAAACCAGCTACTGCAGCCTTTTCATTCTAACACTTCTTGTTCCTGCAATGGGATTTGTGGTTCACTCTCTGATGGTACCTTGCCCCTGGAATCAGCTAGGATGTCATTCTCAGACTGTTGGACAGGGGTTGCAGCTCAGCTGTGCTGAGGTTCTCTAACAAAACAAATTGTTCATTCTCAAAACACCAACCAACAATATGATTAATGCATGGATTAAAACATTACTGTTTGTGTTACCTCTGTTAGGACACTCTACAGGCACTGACCATGTGTGAAAATAAAGTGGCCGTTTCCTCTGGATATTTTCAAAGCACATTAGCCTTTGAGCAACTATTGCACTGACAAGCTCTAGTATTAAGTTTTCAAGTTAGTCCAGGCTCAGCAGTGCTGGCAGTCACACTTCAGGTGTGAAGGTGTTAGCCCTTGCTCTTGGAAGCACTTTGCTAAACTTCAGCCATGGTGAGTTTGTAGATCTTTGTAGAGATCACAGATCACCTTTTCTTATCAGTCTGCTAAAGCAATTACAATCAACAATGTACATTTTTTACCAATTTACACTGGCAGTTTGTATTTGCTGTTACATTCACAGCAGATAACACAGTCTGTGCAGGCAGAACTGCTGCATTTTACCCTAACTAACCATTTGGCCATTATAGCCATAAATAATATTGCAGACTGTAACAAAAACATTCAGTGGTTAGGATGATTTTGTTCTAATTGTTTAGCACAGGCTTTTAAGCAGTAGCTGACTTGTGGGATTAATATGAATAAACCCAACTCGGGTCAGGGATGTTGTGTGCTACAAGATGAGGTGTTTTGTATTTACCATCTTCACCTATGTCAGCTTGGTTTAAAAAGATGGGGTTTTGAGGCCTGACATGACACAAAGCAGTTGTTTGGCTTCTCTGTGGGAGTTTGTTTCAGCTGGGGGCTGGGTGAACTGCAGAGGCCCCTTCCAACCTCACCAAGGCAATGATCTGCAAGGTGTAGAATTGAGCAAGGTTTCATTGAGCAGGAAAAAGCAGCTCTGGTGAGCTCAGCTTGCAGCCAAGGGGAAACCCTGGTTGCCATCCCCAGGGGCAAGGAAGCAGATGGGTGGCTGCTGCTGAGGAATGTGATAATCTGTGTAGAACATGCCTTGTGGCTTTCCTTTGCTCAGTACTTCATTGTTCAGTCTTGTGCCTGTGCTTGATGCCAGAGTAAATTGCTTTTCTCGGTTAATACAGAGGCACAGCTTATCTGTAACATGGTGTGGAAATGAAAAGCTGCTATGGTGGGAATTCTTCAGGAAGTGAAGAACTGATGATCAGGAATGATGAGCTGTTGCATACATGATTGGATCTTTTTAATCCTGAGAAAAATTCCAGGAAAAGTAAAAAGGGAGGAATTGCTGAAGGTCAGCACAATCTTAAAATAATCCTGACGAGGCTGATCACTGTAAAAGTCTTTAATTATGGTGGTTCTGTAAATATATTTCTTTTCTGCCTTTTCTCTTTAGGAGTACAGCCTCATTTTTCCTTAGGAATGTGAACAGACAGTGCCTTCAATTTTAAAGGCTGTGGTTTAATTTCACAATAACATGATGTTACTGTGATTCCTGCCAGTCAAAGTGTAGGGGATTGGATCTGTTTGGTTTATGGAGCCTGGGTTGTACTACTTTAAAGTCCAGAGTTGGGAGAAAATGAGAATGTAAATGTACATGTTTGGGAGTTGTTTGTTAGAGGGAGTGGGTGGGAAGGGATGCAGAGCCAGGAGGGAATGGTTAGGAGTTTTCCTACCAGTTTTTTCCAGAGATAACTCTTCTGTTTATATAAAGTTTAGCAATAATCCACTTCTCCCTTTTTCCAAGTTGCCATACACACACCCTTTAGAGGAAGCCAGGAATTTTTTTAAACAACTTTTTATAACTGGATTGCTCCAGCAGTTTGGGATTCCTTAGGGAACTGGTTTTTGCCCAAATTCTTAACAGTTCATTTGGTCTGTTCACCCAGATGGCTTAAATGTCTCTTATCTCCAGACACTTAAATTGTTTAGAGAAATTAAGTGGTGAGAACGGTTGAAAACTGATGATCACTGCATTTTGGGATATCTGAGGTACTGTGACTGTCACATCTTTGTTAGGACAGCTCTCTAAGCTTGCCTCTCACAGCAGGCTCATGGCCAGATACTGCTTTACCACAGCTCCCACTCAGTGGGCTGCTCTTAAGGAATTATCTTAATGTTTATTTTGGTTTTGAGGAAGGAAAGGGCTTTTACATGCACTTTCCAGGTCTTCTCTCTAATCCTGAAATCCTGAAGACCAGGAAACATTGTTTGGTTGTTGATTTTCCTTTTTTCTCTCTCTCTTTTTTTTTTTTTGGTTGCTTTGTTTATTTGCTTATTTATTTATTTTACATAGACAAGTCAAATGTTTTTTGTCACACTGATATCTACAGCTTGTCTTGTCCAGGGCCTGGTGACAGCTCCAGGGTTGTGACCATGCAAGCACGCACAGACTTGGAAGGCTTTGCTGCTCTGTGCCTGTGCATCCTTCCTTGGTGCATTTCAGCAGGAACATGGCAGTTTTCCAGATGCTATAAGGGACTTGAAACCTGTTACTGAGAGGAGCAGTTGGCAGCTTGTGTTTCACAGAATTGACCTGGCCCTGCCTGGTGCAGCTGCTGCTCAGAGAGGAGGAGGCTGAGCCCAGGCTGAGGGGAAGAAGCAGCTTTGGCTCTCTGGAGGTGCTGGATTATTATCCCAGTTCTTCCTGCATAGGCATTTCTAGGAAAGTTCTCTTCCAAAGCAAGAGCCAAGCCAGGAGCTTGCTGAGCACACTGGAGTGGGCTCTTTGCAGGAAGGGTCACAGGATCTTTGGGCATGACCAGAGAACAGAATGTCTCCCAATTTTCCAAAGGCTTCCTTCCCACTCTGATAAAGTCTCTTGTCCTCCTGGTTCCTGGATCCAGGCTTGTTCTTAATCAAGTGTCTGTTGAAAATGGAAAAGAGCTCTCCCATCTAAACACACACACCTGTGGGCTCATTTTAATAACTCCCCTTTATAGGGGCTCAGGCTCAGCTGGTGACCTCTGCAGCCCAGTTGAGGACCGTGCACACTTCAAAGGGTGGGGCAGCAGCTCTTCCTCCAACCTTTGGTGCTGAATCCCAGCAATGAGAGGCTCCTTCATCTTCTTCATGACCAAAAATCCCAGTCATTCTGCACACATTTAAAAATCCTTCTATTGCCTAGGATGCAACCCTCAACAGTACCATCTTACTCTTTTAAGGGGAATTGTAAAATGTGGGTTCTAGTATTGTTTGTTTTGGCATCTCAGTACTCTTTCAGGAGGCTGATGAAATTGAGCTCAGATGACCAATCCTCAGCAAGAAATTCAAAGCCCTGTAGTGAACTGCCAATTAAGTTATTTCTAGAAAGATTTTTAAAATCACCACAAACTGTTTACTGATGTTAACAATATGATAATTCTGGAAGTCACACAAGGAAGTGGTACAGCTACAAAAGACACAAGTGTGTTCAAAAGGCTTTCATATGAATGCAATGATGCCAAACACCTCAGCACATTCAGCACCGTAAATTCAGCTGTAGCCACAGTAAAATGGAGAATAGAGAGAAATTTCCATTCCATTCACAGTGGTTTCATACAGGATGGAATTCATAACCAGAACCAGTCATAAGCAGTCATGAGTTTGCACAGCAGTATCACTCTCATCAAAATTCCTTGGCTTTCAGCTACATTTAGATAGCAGTGAAATAATTACAACAGAGAAATGTGTCCTAGTTGTGCTGTGTTTGAGTGCAACCCAAGATTATCACTTAAAAGGATGATTCAAAGTTCACATTTACACTGGCAATGATGATTCAGATGAGGAAGGACAGAGATCTTTACTGTTGGCTAGCTGGAGTCTGTTCCTTGCTCTTCTGGCTCAGGAGGATACAATTCATCCAAAATCAGCTCTGCAACAAAAAATAATCTTTCAGAGAATTTTTTTTTCCTGCTTCATACAGTACAATTATAGCTGGTATCTGCATTTTAGAACATACTGATGGTAGAAGAGTACAGCAAATAAAGTGTTTGAAGGTTCCATGCAAACAGGTCTTTAGATTTGTGTTTTATCACACAAACTTCTCCCTTTCTTTTCTTTAATGCCTTTTTTAGGGACATAGTCCACTATCCCAGGTTGCTCCAAGCACCATCCAACCTGGCCTTGGACACTTCCAGGGATCCAGGGGCAGCCACAGCTACTCTGGGCACCCTGTGCCAGGGCCTGCCCACCCTCACAGGGAAGAATCTGTTCCTAATATCCAATCTAAACTGCCTCTAGAGGTCTGAGCAACAACCAGCTGTGGTACTTGTCAAAAGAGAAAAGTGACAGAAGTGAAATTTTTATTTCTGCAACATGGAGAAAAGCCAACATTTGACTGATTTTTACCTTCAGAGGCACTCAGTTTTTGAGTCTTTTTGAGAATGGCTCTTATTCCTGGCATGGCTTGGTCGTATTGATGGAGAACTTCCAAACAGTGTTCATGGAACAGTTTATCTTTCTGAGACAGGCTGTGCAAGAGTAAAACAGCATCCCGTAAAAACTGAATAACTCGTTCCCTATGTGCACACGAGCTGGTCTCAGATCTAATCTTCATCCACTGTCTGTGCAACATCACAATTAGTGCCTTAACCACCTGCAAGGGGAAAAACAGTGTCTCAAAACACAAAGCAAACATAGAGGAGCAGAAAACTTATTTCAATATGCTTAATCTCTTCAAGCTTTCAAATTTCAGGATATTTTCTAGCAAGCCAAAGCAAGCTTCCTAGAAGGTGTCATCCTCTAAAATACAGGACACCTCTGTTTCTCTACAGTAGAAAAAACAAAAGGGGCAAAGAGCAATTTCAGCATTGAGTACTTGGAACTTGTCAGCAGGTTAAACTGGGGCAGTGTGGTGAACATACCTCGAGGTAGCACTGACAGTCTGTGCCAGGAAATAAAACTGCTGGTCTGGAGCACCACATGCAGCGTGTCAGGAGCCTCACTGTCTGTTACAAACACAGGCTGTGTTAGAGTGAGAGCCAAGTTATGGTAATTCATTGCTAGTTTCAAATAGTCTTGGGGTATTTTTTTCTCCTAACAGCTGATGTCTTTTACCCTCAAAGTTGTACAAGTTTTTTTTTTTTTTTCCCCTCTAACACTTTATAGACAGAATTTGCCTTGCACAGAAATCTTCACAAATTTCTGATGAGTGAGGCTGACAAGGTCAGTGGCCTTTAATTTGCTGCATACAAATAATGTGTTTACCCCCACCTGCACTGTTATATTAAGTGTAATGGAAAGGGTTCAAAATTCTTTAAAATGAAGGAAGCAGAGAAAATAGAACCTCAGACAAGTCTGTTGTCACTTCTGTCTGCACAAACAACACAAATTAGGTTTAAAAGCTATTCTTTCTATATATAACCATGACTTAAACAGCAAGGTAGCATTTCCATTGAATGCCAGGAATATAAATCCTAAATCACTACAGGGTGCCTCTTCAATGTAATAAATACAATCAAAATGAAATTCAAATCATGCTTCTTTTTACTCTTCTATTGCTCTAAAAACAAAGCTTAGTGCTGAACATCTGCAGCCATCCTAGGATCTCCCTTGGTTTTTTCAGTGACTTGAAAGGCTATTATGACCAATGGTCTCTTCAGGGAATAGTTACTGATTCAGTTTCAAGCAGGTCCTTTCAAAAATCAATGTAATCCCTTACTGCAAGCCCATACTTGCAGTTTTGTATTTCAGCTAGAGAAAGAACTTGTTTTCAGACAATTTGTGCACTATCCTGCTCCTCCCACTCCCCCAACTGGAAGGAGGAGGAAAGAGCACATGGACACTCAGCCGTGGTTACCTCTTGCTCCAGCTGAAGCCAAAGCATTTCAGATGCTGATTTATCTGGTCTTGATGTTATGTACATGTAGAGTGCAAGGAGAAGGCAGGTGTCTGAAATAGAGAGAACTTTGTTCTTTTTCCAACCAGCCGTTTGTTCATGACAAAAATTGATTCTATCAGGTGAGAAAACATTTTGAGTTCTATCCTAGGGCTCATGGTACAGGCTCAGCTTCTTGTTTTACTTCCCACATTTTCAGCAGTGCTGAGGAAATTGGTATCCCTAAACTTTATATTTGCCTTTGTGGTAATCCTGTCCTGGTTCATTCCTAAGGAACTGAACAGAGATCATTCGTCATGCAGAGTACTGGAATCTCTGAGCAGTGCCATGAGCGCAGATAAATTTAACTTCAAAACTCCTCCAAAGCCCCTTTTTCCTCACCAACCTTAAATACACAATCTAGAAAGTCATTTTAGAATGGCTATCAAAAGCACTGCTTGTAGACAGATACCACAGGAGAAATACTCTCCAAATCATAAGCAGAAAACAAGTTTTCAGGTAACAGAGCAGACTTTTTGCTTTCTGGGATCTCAGCACCTTGGAGCAAGGCCTGTTTGCATTACTGTTAGTCATGGTAACAGTTCTCTTGTCTCCTGCAGTCTTTACCTGAATGAGAGCAGAGCTGAGCAACCAGCAGATGGTGCTGGGCAAGAGCACACAGGAGTCTCACAGTCAGGAGCACGGCAGGCACGGGCGTCTCGGGCCGCAGACAGCGCTGCAGCGCCTGGCTCCTCAGTAAGTGCTGGAAACTTCAGAACAAAACTGGGTTAGAAAAAGGAAGTGCAGTTACAAGTAGAAAATGCAGTATTTTTTGTAGGCAGTATCATAATTTTTGCTTTTTAAGCTATTCAGACTATACCCGATATAAATACAAAGTATGCTGGAAAACATTGTTACTCTGGCAGTCACTCTGCAGTTCACACTGGCAGTTCTACCTGCCAGAATGAGATCCTGTGCTTTCCTTCCTTATGCACCTCCCAGCAATCACAAAAACCCCAAAAATGAATGTTACAAAGCTTCTTCACTTTCAATGAGGCAACAGTATCTGCTTCATTTGAACATCATCAGCAAACCTTGTTACTGATCAGGGATGATTATTATACTCATTAACAGCAAAGGCAGTAGAAAGATCCTCAGCTGCTTCTCAAACATGATCTGTGATTTCTCTCATACATAGTACAACTTCTAGTGGAAGCTGCCCAGATGAGTTTTAACAGAGAATGAAAACTGCTAAGCAGCAGACTCTGAAATAATTTTAAAGCTATTACTGACTTACTTTATTAACAAGTCCATAGTTGAATTTTCAGCTAATTTTACCAAAACCTTAAGGCTTTGGCTCAGGATATTGTCAGTCTGGGAACCCCTTGCAGCAGAAAAAGTTAAAATCTGAAGCAGCTTTTTAAACAAAGAATGTTGAGCTCTGTCAGTATTGGGAGGATCCCGTGGAGGCAGCCCTCCTTGTGTCCTGCTCTCTTCTTTATTGTCACACTGATTGTCACACAAGACATTTTTGTCCGTCTTGGAAACCTGTTCATCTCCAGCAGCAGAACTGTTTCCCATTTCAGCAGACAGGAGTGTGTGGACAACATCCCAGCTGTAGAACACCAGATAATAAAGGATCCCCAGTGACACGAGAGTAGTTTCTTCAAGGGACAACCTGAAGTCCTCCTTGCCTGACCCCGAGTTTGTGCTGGCTCTGGAAGCAGCAGCTGGGTGGGTGCCACAAGCTCCATTCCCTGGCGCATCCCCGAGCTGCTCTGCTTGGCAGAAGGCACCAACGTGGTGCTCCACCAAGGGCAGGAGGTGCACAGCACCTTGGATCCTGCTCTGTGTGAGGGGCAGGAGCCCTCCCTGGCCTTCTGCTGGGCTTCCCTCAGATAATCCTTCATCCAGAGCAATCAAGTTCAGTCCTGTTATTGCCAGTTTTTGAGCTTCTTGCAGGGATACAAGAGGAGCGATTCCTTCTTGAGTTGTCCTGCTGCTGGGGAGTTGTGTGGGCTTCCTGTCCAAATGAAATAAAAAGGGAAATGCTTCACAAGAAAAGGCAGAGAACAGACTTGAAATCCGAGTTATCCATATTATGAATTGAATAATAGAAAGGCCAGAGTACTAAGAGATATCTGTTTCCAATATAGGAAATAAAGGGGGAAAAACATCCTCCTGCTCCTTGATGCCTGCACAGAAGAGCCATTTCAAAGCATGCTAGGTTTCATTGCTAATAAAATAACCTGTCTGAAAAGCAAAGGTATTTCAGAAGCTACAGTCTAATTCTGTAAAGTGAAAAACTATTATACTTCCTATCCAATCTTCATATTTAAAATGCTTTATCAGGAAATATATCTTGGAAAGTTGCACACCAATTGTACATTACAATTTGAACACGGTTTACATTTTGAAGATAGAAAACCAACTTTTTGATCACATCTTCAGCATTTTCTTCCCCCTTAACTCATTATCATGTTTCTGTCCTTCCCTCATTGCAATGCAAGCTGCTTACAGCTTTTTTTTTTAGTTTAGTTCTGTGCCTTCTCCTAACTGATAATTAACCTAATTATTTTTTAGTGATGTTCCAGTGTTTAGTATCTATGATAATCAAAGATAAAGAATGATGTTCCAAATTTTGCACTAAATGGCCTAGGCAGAGCATGATTTACCACAGGGAATGAGCTGTCCTGCATGACCAAGTGTTTCTTAGTACAGAGAATGCCACTGTGCTGAACGTGGCAGATACAGTTTAACAAAGCAAATAAAACTTACATATCCAAAGAGTTGGGCGGCAACACAGCTCCAGGTAGAGGCTCAGAGTCACTACTGAGAAGATGGCAGAAACCTAGAAGTGACCCAGGCACTATGGGCTGCTTCATCAGTGCATTCAGCAAGATAGAACCTGGAAGGATACAGAATTTTCTTTGGAGAAGTTTTGTCATCATCAACAAAAAAAATCAGTATTTCGGAAGATAAGCCTTATTGTGGGAGTGCTCACAACCTCAAATTTGGTTTGGTTTTTTCATGATCCAACTTTTTTCTTAACAGGAGGATGATTTTCAGAAAAATTAATTTAATATATATAAATATAAACCAAGTTGTATTTAGAGGTATTTTAATTATGATCCCGTATTAGCAAAATAGCTTGAGCCAAGTGATCACATATCCCAGCTGTTCTGGTGACTTGCCCTCCATTTTCCACTCCAGACATTGAAATTATGTGATGCAATTCCACTGCCAACTGTAACTAAGATAGTACCCCAAAGAATTCTTGGAGCTGACTGTTGAAAATGCTTTATAGTGTTGTTCTTTGGGTTTTTTTTAAGGTACATTTCCCCTGGTTTTATTTCTGCATTACTAGAATGATACTACCTTGTGTTTTTCGTTTGGGGACAGAGTTGTAGGAACCATTTTTTCCTGTTGCTTTGTGCTGCTTCAGGGATGAAACTTCAGGATGGGTTATCTTCCTGTCTGAAACAAACAGGGATTGGGAGAACACAGATCTGCACCCATCCTCTACACACACAGCCACAGTGTTAGATAATCTTTTAATCATCTCTATATATCACAATTACCAAGCAAACCAAGGCCAAAAGCCTTGCAGAGTTCAGAAAAAAAGTAAACAAATGTGTTTTTTCAAACAAATAGGCATATTGGCTGTTGTTACCATAACAAACAAGAGCAATACTGATGCTTTCATGCTACTGCATTTTTTTCTTTTTGCTGGTGTTCCTACTGCCCATATTTTTAGAATGAACTTTGTAACTGACAGGAACATCTCAGATTTTTCATGACTCTTCAAGTAAAGATTAGTTGGTGATAGCCACATTTCTTCCATTTATTATTTCCCATTGCTATAAAAAACCCACTACTTTTGTTTCATATTATAGCAATGTTCAAATATATGCAGACATTAATTTCCTAAGGTTTACTCAATGAATTTCAAGATAAAATTTTGTGAGAATTACTGCCCTACATATGAAAGAGGAAATTAGTACATTGTTTCAGTTCCTTCTTTAAAAATGGCTAAATATGTACCCTTTAAAATCCAATCCCCAAAACTAGAACAAGAATACAAAAGATGCATTACCTGACTAGCAGACCAAGAAATAGGCAAATTATTTCCTATTCTTTATGCAATGAGCAAAGAGAGATCAACAATTTGGATGTTTTAGTTCATCACGCAATAAAGTTTTTTATTGCAGCCACTGGCCACTTCATCATTGACACCTTGGCATCTGGTACTAAGGTATGAATTAAAATGATCTTCATGCAAATTTCAGTCATGGCTATTTAACTCCAGTTGGTATAAAGTGGGAAAAAACCTAACCAAAACCAAAATAAATAACTGTAAACTGACTGCAACTGTTCAGTCATGAAATACTTCTCTAATGTAGAATGTTCACATGTAGCTAAAAAGGTTGCAAGCTGTACATGAGTTTACCTTCTTTGATTGAAGTAGTCAGGGACACCAAATTTCCTGAAGAACACAGTGGCCTAGTGGACATTTCAGCACTGAAGGATTCCTTAGTAGGAAAAGATCTTCTTTCTGGCTGTAGAGAACATCCTTCTGATTTCCCTTGTACCACAAGATTCTTTTTAGGGCTAAGATAAAGAGACAAATCAGTATTTCTTTTGTAATTATTTTATTAAACAACAATATATTTTCTTTGAACTGTTTGATGTTTTAGAGATACTTCACTATAAACTCTTTGAATTTGTCACAGATACAAGGCTCTTTTTCGAGCAAATTCCACAGATGTCATCGAATTTTTTTGTTGTATTTTTTTAAAAACAACAGAGCTAAGAGTCACACGAAGAAAGAAAACCTCTTCAATAGTTTACACACATGGTTTGCAAAAATGAACACAAATTCCTTTTCCAACCCCCCTACCTCGTTGCTGGAACTGCCTGAGAAAGGTGTTTGTTTCTTTCACAGTTCTGAAGTCGTGTTCTTAATTCATTCATTTCTGCATCCTTGAACTGCAGCTCGGAGTGCAGCGACTGTAACTGAAAGAGGAGTTCAGGGCAGTTTTACTGTTACCAGTTCAGAAGAGCTGCAACTGCAGAGCAACTGAGTTACCAGAGAGCTGGAGATCACCATCTGCTTACTGTAAACTCCAAGATCTCAATTTTTAGGAATGTTAGCCCAGTAAGCACTCAGAGCCAAGTGCCAGGAGTTGAGGCAAGAAGCCTTTGTGAGTGGCTAAGACAGAGCAAGTGCCACGCAGAGCATGGCTCCAGTGAGGCTGCAGAGCCAGCTGGGCAAAAGCAGCCACTCTCCAGGGATGCACAGAGATGACTGCAACAAGAACAGCCATCTGATCAGAGCCACCAAGCATCTTCTGTCACTTCTTCCCACTCTAACATACATTCCACTTGCAAGGTTCTCGGGATGGCTTCAAAAAAGCAATAAGTAAATGAAAACCTCTACCACCTGAATTTCACTCCTTTATTTTGGCAGGGGAAAACCCTCAACAAGTTCTTTCAAATGTTTTCTTCTAAGTAAGAAAATAAAATCAAGCATTGTGGAAATTTCACACAAATTATGTTCTTCCTTTGACAAAATAGTCTGTGACATTAAGTCATAAACCAGCATCTGAATGGGATCTGCAGGTAACTGACATATTTACAAACCTTTTTGGAGAACTCTTTTTCTTTTTCACTCAAAATCTGAGATTTTTGCTGTTCCAGTAGCACGTATGATTTTTTCTGTTCTTCCATAGCATGCTCCATCTGCTGCATTGAGTCACGCAGAATTTTAATTTCTCCATTTTTAGTGAGAATTTCATCCTGCATTTCTTTCAGCTGCAAACAGAGGAGTTACATTATGGGATGAATATAGCCAAAAGTATGCATTTTCATCAGTATGTGGTTGAAAATTAGGTGTATTTGTAATTTCTAGGGAGAAAAACACTCCTGGTAACCCAGCATGGAAATTCTACACGTTGCTTCTGATCTTTCTCTGATTAAATCAGGCTCAGCTACTGTTTTCTTGAACATAATTAAAAATGATAAGATCATCCTTCTCTTTCCCCTTCTCTGCAATTATCTTTTTTTTTTTTTTTTTTTTTTTTTAAAGTGTTCTACTCACACACATCAATAATTCATTCATTGTTTGGATGATAACAGTGATAATTTATTCATTGCAGTACTACATCCATCAGCTCAGCCAACAGGCACTCTAAGACAAGGTACCACCCCCAGAATCTTCACGACATTGAGTCTCTCATACTTCCTGAGCAGCCACTACCACTCAGAGACAAGACTTTGGGGAGACAATGAAGAAGTTACTCAGAAAAACAAGAAGAAAAGATCAGGAAGACACTTCTCTACAACTGTGAAATTAGGATTTAATATGGGATACAGTGGGAGATTCCCTGATAAAGGTGGATATAACAGAGCTGGGAAAGATACAGAGAATGGAGAAAGGGAAACAGAGTATCTTTCCATAAATGACCACCCCAAGGTAAAGTAACATAAAGTCACTTGAAAGTCATGTCACTTTCTCAAACCTTTTCAGTTAAGCAAAACGACTCTGGCTGACAGGGCAGAGAAATTATTTGATAGGGAACAAATAAAACTGAAAAATTAGCATTTGCTAATCTGAAATGATCAAGAAATAAAATACTGCTCTCACTCTTTACTATTACTAGAGTTGTTTCTAGTACAATGATTTTAACACACCCCTGGATTACAAAGATTAGATCACCTTGATTAGAATTAAATGCTTGGGACTGGATTTATCCCACCTTTCAGTTATTCCTATCAAAAATATGACATTTAGAGGAGAAGGGAGGATACTGCCAACCTTCTGTTTGACTTCTTCATGCTGTGTCTGCAGCACTTCAAACTGGAATGCATCTCTCATCAGACCATCTTCTGCTCTGCTTCCTGCTGCAGGGAAAAGCCAAAATCTGAAGCACAGATGATGAATGTACATCACTGGTGACTCAACACCAAGGTTTTGTTATTTGTCATTGCATACATCTGATTACCTTAGTATTTTGCTGTCATTACAAACAGGTAAAGTGCCTCATCCAGCCACCACAGGATGTGCTAGTGCTTGTGCATCAATTCTTACAACAGAAGAACCCCTGCCCCTTCAAATTTCTAATCACAGAATGGTTTGGGTTGAAAGGGACCTTCAAGATCATCTCATATCTTAAACCAGCAAGATGAACCACAGCAAAAGCAAGCATTTCTTCTGAGATAACTTCAATTAATGCACAAACAAGTGTTCACTGAAAACTTATTCACCTGGAGAGGTGACAGATGTAAGGGTTGCTAAAACATACTTAGATTATTCAAGCTCTCTGAGGTTCATTATGAAGAAACCCCGGGTTTCATTTCTTTCAAAGTAGGCTCGAAAGTCAGCTGTTAGCACAAGGCATGCTATGCATTTATTAGTGAAAATTAAAAGGGGAAAATAATCTGAAAGCCAACATACTGCCAGAATATGATACCTAAAGCATGCTGAAAGTTTAGGAAACTCGGGTTTTTTATTTGGCAGGTTTAACACCCAGCACCCTCGTCCCAGGCTGGCATTAGCACGCACACACCCCCGGCACGGGCTCCTGGTGCCGTGAGATCAACGCAGTGTTCCTGCTGGGATTGTTATTCTCGTTATTCCTCCGAATCCCAAGCGTCCCTCTGACACTGGGGGCACCACCGTGGGGTGCGGGTGGCCAGGGGAACAGGCAGGAGCAATTCCCTTAAGGGAACTTACAAGAGCGATGGAGCAAGTCTATTTACAAGAGACAGGACGAGAGGGAGGGGCTTCACGGACGGAGATTTTAGGTTAGGTATTAGACAGAATTATTCCCTGTGAGGGAGGTGAGGCCCTGGCACAGGGTGCCCAGAGCAGCTGCGGCTGCCCCTGGATCCCTGGCAGTGTCCAAGGCCAGGCTGGACGGGGCTGGGAGCAGTCAGGGACAGTGGCAGGTGTCCCTGCCGTGGCAGGGGTGGCACTGGATGCGCCTGGAGGTCCCTGCCAACCCAGGCCGTTCTGTGCTTCCTAAAGGGACACCAAACCTTCCGCAGCAGCGGGGCAGGGAGGGGCAGCCCCCGGGACACCGACCTTGCCGCCCGCCCCGGGGCAGCTCCGGGGCTCCCCACGCGTGTCCCGCGGGCGGATCCTGCGACAGCGCCTGCGAGGCCAGGATGTCGATCTGCTCCAGGTCGTCCGCCGTGAAGTCATCACTGTCCCCGAAGGGGTCCACGATGCCCGTCACGGCGCTCTTGGGGCGCTTGTGCGGGGGAAGGACGCTCCGGAGCGCCGGCGGGGCGGCCGCAGCCCCGCTGTCCCCGCAGAGCGCGGCGCCGCTCCGCTTGCGCGGCCCGGGCAGCGCCGCCATGGCGGGACCGGGACCCGCGGGGCCCACACGCCGCGGGGCCGCCCCGGCCACGCCCCCGCCGCGCGCTGCGCCGCCCGCCAATCACCGCCGGGCAGCTCTCCCCGCACAGCCAATGGAGTGGCGGCGGCTTCAAAGCCAGTTGTAAGCGCCCCCGTGATTGGCCGCGCGCAGCAGATACGCAAGCGCCTCGCTGATTGGGAGGGAGGGAGGGAGGCGGGAAGGATCGTCCCCTCAGCGGTGTGAGGGGAAGGCGCTGACGTCAGATTTCGAGCGATGACGTCAGCCTGAGTAGTGACATCACTGTGAGGGTTGTCCCCCTGATTCACTCCTGGCTTCATCCCGGGCACGATGGCGTCACACCGCAGCTGCAGGGCGGCTCCGGCCCGTCCTGTGCGGCCGTGGCACTGCCGGCCGCGGGCACGGCTGCCCTCGGTGACCCGGGGCCTGTGAAAGCGTCGGGGAGGAGCGATGTTGGCAAAAGGCCCGAGCTGAGCCCCCGCCCTTACACTCCTGGCGTTAACCTCTTTGCAATCGTATTTGGCCCGTTTTTACATGGATGAGCGAGAGAGTTTCCAGCTCTGTATAACTCAGGTGGGTGTGGGTTTATGCTGATAAACCTTTTAAGAGGAGACTAGACCATAGCCTTGCAGCACATTTTTAAAACAGGGTTACAAACTATTTTCATTTCTACAAATCAGTTTACAAATCCCTTGATGGTCTTTTAAGTGAAAAGCACTGTGTCAGTGTGACATATTGCCAATTCTGTCAGAGAACTCTGATTTCTCTTGTTCATCTCGCTATTGCCCGTTCCGTGCAGTGAAATCACATTATCCCTAGAGGGTAATTTTCTTTATCCCTGCGGAGCATGAGCAGCCTGCGAGGAGCCAGCCCAAAGGAAGCCCCGAGGGTCGTTGTTGCCAGCTGTGGCATTGATTCCCAGTGGGAATCAGCTGGGAACAGCTGCACTGCTCAGCTCAGGTGCACACAAAAGGGGCGCTCTCACACGGGAACCGCACTTGTAGCACTTTGGGTTTGTGGTGCTGCTTGAAGGTTTTATTTTTGTTTCTCCAAGAAGTTGTTTTATCAGTTATGTGCTGGATCTGGGGAACTTGTGGATGGGTTTGATGCTCTAAACACTGAAGGTACCTTTATTTATTTATATTGCTTTTCTCCTTCTAGTGGGAGTGGTAACATAACGTTTGTCTTTGTAGTCTTGCCATAAAGAAAAGTTTCTTCTTGCTTTTAAGAATGGTTTATCTCTTTATGTTTAGAGAGAGATGCTTTAAGGAGATTGAGTAAAACCAAAATTTCTTGTTTGGTTTAAAACATCTGGCAATTTCTAGTGCTCTGTTTCTGCTGCTTATGTTTGTAGAGACATGTATGGAGAGCTTCATTTAAGTAATCTAAAAGGAGATGGATTTAGACATTACTTGTTCTTAATTATGGGTGGGTTTTGTTTGTTTTTTTTGTTGTTGTTTGTTTGGGATTTTTGTTGTTGTTTAATAAATTAATAGGATTGTGCTAGTATTACTATTTTTTATTACTGCTGCTTTTAAATAATAGTGTATTGTTTGAGTGGTATACCTTCAGTTTTACTTTCTCCTCTTCCTCTAGCTGAAGTTGAGGAAAAATACATGATAGAACACTTGCACAGAATTTATTTTTAACAAGGTAAACTAAGATACTGACTTTGTTTTCCTCTACTCCAGGTGTTCCTGCTAAAGAGACAATTACATGCAGAGGATTAGAACAACAACAAAGTAAGTCTGAGATGTAGAATTTGCTTTAAATACAGCTGCTCATGGAACCATTTTGGGCAGGGGAATGAAAGTAACACAGTTACATATCTGCTGATTTCTCATTTTTCTGTGTCTTGCTTACATTGAGTCTTAAATCTGAAACTCCCTGAGGAGAACACAAGAAATCAAAGTGTGGCTTTAGCCCTACCTGACAACTGTGGCTTCTTTTGACTTTTTATAGCCAGAATTTCTTGTTTCATTTGAATATTCCACTAAGGACTAATGAATCCAGGAGTCAGACCTCAATCCATGTGGGCAGTTTTAGCATTACCATTTGACTCTTGCAGTACTTTTAGCTACTTTTCATTTGCTTGATTCATTTGCTTTCTGCTCTTACCATTACTTTAGTTTCTCACAAGCAAGTTAAAACCAAGGCCCTCAATGTCTGTCCTGGCTTTAGCAGTACCTTGTTTTACTGACTTAAGAGTAAAATCACTGGGATAACAGGGAATTTGTGCATTTATTCATTTGGGTGCACGCATTGTGGAAGGGGGGAGCTCTTTAGCATAATTAAGCATTAAGTTTAATAACTTATGTGTGGATTTGGACAGTTCTTAGTGCTGCTAATGGTATGTTTATTCTAAATGTTAGCAAGAGTTCTGTAACTGCAATGCAAGTGTTGTGTCTTTGTGTTTCAATGAAGGTGGATGTGAATGTGTTTTGTGTAAATCGAAACTGAAGTGGATGTGACTGAATCAGTCCAGGTACCAGCAGAGATTAATTTTTTTTTTAGCTTATTTCCTAAAGTATGAGGTACTGAAATGCAAATGGGACTTCGGTGAAAACTTGTTCTAACAAAATAGCCTCTTGATCCAGACCTGAGAGCTGGTTAGGAGACGAGCGGTCTGAGTTTTGGGTAAATGTCCAGAGTTTTGTCATTTGCCGGTAGAGGGAAAGGAAATGCCGCGCGTCAAGGCTGACCTGGGACCCGTCCGTCCGAGATGGAGGGGATTTTACTCTGCGCTTGTATGGCGTCCTGAGAAAAGAGGGAAGGGGCCGAGGCAGGGTAGGGCGCTGCGTGCCCGGCGTGCGGCTGTCGCGCGGAGCCGCCCCCGGCCGCGGGGGCCGGGCCGGGCCGGGCGGCGCTGGCAGCGGGGCCGGGGCGGACATGAGGACCGAGATCTCCACGGCGGCCGCGTTCGTGACCCGCCTCCTGCGGGCCGCCGGCGGGGTCGGCGAGGAGCAGCTGCGGTGCTTCCGCGAGTGCCTGCAGGAGGCGATGCGCGGTGAGTGCCGGGGGGCATCCCCTCCGTGCATCCCCTCCGTGCATCCCCTCCGTGCATCCCCTCCGTCCTTCCCCTCCGTCCTTCCCCTCCGTCCTTCCCCTCCGTCCTTCCCCTCCGTCCATCCCCTCCGTCCTTCCCCTGCATCCCTCCCGTGTCCCGCGGGGTCCGGCGGAGCGCAGCCCCGCGCAGAAGCTCCTCTTTGTTCCCTCCCGCAGAGCACTACAAGCACCACTGGTTCCCCCTGGTGCCCTCCAAGGGCTCCGGCTACCG